GATCTGCTACTCAATAAATATTTGTTGAATAAGTTAGTTTATATACATTTAAAACTGTTAACAGAAATAGCTTGAGATCGTCCCCGCCAAAAAGAAACAAAAACAAGACAAAGAGTCAAACAATTCTTGGAACAAGTTATTTAACATTAAGTTCTGAATGTTAGGTCACAGAGAATTAAACCAAATACAGCTCCTCCTCTGAAGTTACACTATTTGTTCAATCCCATGAACATCCACTGGGTCTCACTGTGTGCAAATTGCCATGAATGACACAAAGATGAACAAGAGAGATCCATAATTTCAAGGAACTCAGTCACAATCAGAAAAGATCAAACATTTATTAGCATAAACCCCTTAAATATATAGCAAAATATTAAAATCCTCCCTCCCAAATTTTTTTTAGAAAATATTATTGGAGGATATCGTAGGGGTGGCAGAGATCAGGAAAGCTCCATGAAGGAGGAGCTTCACTGAAGGAGCCACAGAATTTCATCAGAGGGAACTGAAATGAAGGATGTTTCAAAAACAGAGAAAGCTTGAGCAATGGCAAAGAGGTAAGAAAGCACAGAGGATTTTTTTGGTGATAAACAGTGGCTCCATTTGTCAAGGCATAGAATACACAAAGGGAAATGGCAGATGACACTTTGAGACCCTCTGCCACAACCTATCGGTGTCTTGTACCGCTTCACAGTCCTGCGCTCCCTGCTAACTCCTCCCACCGTCCTGGATGAGCTGAGCACCCGGGAGGATGACCCACCCAAGCCCCCGCCCTCACAGCTTCTAGCCCTCCTTCCTTCCCGCCTACTCCATGTAAACGGCAGTTTGAGGCCCTTGGCCATGCCTGGATTTTGCCATCACAAGAGCTTTATCTACAAATTATTAAACCCACTGGAAGATTGTCTTGTACTGCTACCCTGTTCCATCACCAGCTCTCTCCATCCCCCTGTTCCATTTAACTTGTCCTTTGATTTCATGGAGAAAATTTTTGTGCCCACCCACCTTCCTTGTCCTTGATTCTTCCTTTTCGTCCTGTACTCAATGCCCACTCCAGTGGATGATTTTCTCACCCACACCCTCAACTCTTTCCAAGCCTTATCCTTCTGTCACACCCATTTGTGAATCCCTAACCCTAAGTCTATTCCACAACCCTCTCCCTCTTGGATCCAGTGACCAGACTTCTAAGCACCCCTGGAGAAAGCCATGTATCCACACAGTCACACCACCATGTGTATTAGAGTCACGGCAAAGTTAACAGCTTCCTGAGCATTTGCACCGCTCAGCCATCTGAGTCAGTCAGCTCCCCCTTCCAGTTCCCTCTGAGACCACTGAGAACCTCCTCAAGTCTCCTACTCAAGCCCTGTGGCCACTATCAGAGATGTCCCCGCCCCCTGCTTCACGCACCAACAGGGATCTCGGGAAGGACGCTCCTCTACAGCCCTCCCAAACCTATGGACCATCCACAGCCTCCCCCCTGAACACACATCTGCTTCATGCTTCCTCACTTTTGCACAAGCCATTACGTAAGGCTACCTCTGAAGACACTGCTCTCTGTTTGAAGCATTTTACATAATTATGTCTTTTTATATATTTTTTTTGGTCTATTTGGATTTTGGGGGGGTGGTAATTAGGTTTATTTCTTTATTTTTAGAGGAGGTACTGGGGATTGAAACCAGGACCTCATGCAAGCTAAGCATGCTCGCTACCACTTGAGCTATACCCTCCCCCCATGATTATGTCTTAATCCTCACAAGAACCATGTGAAGTAAGTACTACCATTCTCTCCACCTTATAGATGAGGAAACCAAGGCACAGAGCAAATAAATGATTTGCTGGAGCGTATACAGATAATATGTTGTGGCACTGACTTTGAACCCCACAATCTAGTTCCAGTCCCTTGTCGCAAACCCTGTGCTGTACCGACTTCACCTTGCATCGCCACTGAGCCCACCCACCTGGTGGATTCTTACTCTTCCTTCACTGCCCAACTCAAGCGTCACTCTCTCCATAACACTTTCTCTGCTTCTCCAGAGTTAACTTCTCACTTCCCTCCCAGCATCGTCATTGTGCCTGGGTCACACCCTGTTTTTATGTTTGTCTACTGTGTCCTTTTGAGAACCTGCCCAGCCCTGAACACAGCTCAGGTTTCATATAAGAATTACCCTGCACCCTAGGAGTCCCCACATTTGTTTCCTGAATAAATTGACTCATCTGTATCTCATTTTTGTCTCTTAGTATCAATTTACCAGCCGTCACTCAGCCTCAGCTCCTTGCCCCCTTTAGCCTTTCACTTTGAAACGCTGTTTACCTACTTTGCCAAATCTACTTTGCCTGCCACCTTCCCGGAACTCTTCCTCCTTTGAAAACCCCTTTCATCATGACCCTGGGGAGCTGCCACCACAGGCAGCCCTCGCCGGGCGGGGCCGATCCCCCAATCTGATTCTGGACAATTCATACCTACTTGATTTAGCGCTTTTCTTTGGTTTCACTCAAGCTACCTCATAGGACAGGGGAGTTATTGAAAGAACAGATGCCTTACAGGAATTCAAGAAAACTAAACAACCAGGTGCAGGGAGAACAGGAACACTGGGAAGGTTGGAACGCAGGCTCCTCCAGCTCAGGGCATCACCACTGACACAACTCAGCTAATATCCAAGTAGCTACTTACTCATTTCCAATTAGCAACTGGCTTATTTCCCCCTCTATTCTGCACATTCTTTCCAAACTTCACAGCTCCTACCTTACTCCGTGGTGTCTGCTTCTCCGTGGTTTTGATTTGCCATGGCCTCGTGATTCTCTCCATGCACAGCTTCACCTCGTCCAAATGCCCAACTCACCATGTGTTTCTAACTTCAGTTTCCCAAAAAGCTGAATGGTCCCAGCTCACCTTCTCATGTTATGTCATGAAACACCCACTACCTTTCTATGGACTGGGAGTCCTTGAGTCCAGAGCTAACTTCAATCAAATCAGCTGTGACAGTGGGCCTGGGGTCAAATCATGCAAAAATTCACCAACTGGGCTGCCTTTTCAGCAGAGGTGGTAAATGAGGTGCTTCCTTTAAAGAAGGGTGGTATGGGAGGTCCCATGATGCAGGTATAGCATCATTTAGACTAAAGATTCTTTAATATTTTTGATCAGAGTTTTTCTGAGAATCAGATAAAAGTTATGAATCATTCCCAAGAAAAAGTTCTCTTATGCAGAAAATTTCACAAATACCTTTAGGGTATTTGTGGACCCCAGCAGCCACCCTTAGAACACCCTCCAAACCAGCACAGGTCTAAAATCTATCCACAGATCACCTCCAAGGCAGGCACTGTATCACATTCATGTTTGTACTTCCTGTGCCTAACACTGGGCTTAGCACCTAGTGTAGTTTTCCAAAAATATTTTTGAATGAATGAGTGAACTGAAGAATTCATTCATTAATTAAGGTTAAAGAGGTTTTTCAAAACTAGACAGAGGCTAAGAAGTTTGGATTTGATATAAAAGGCATTGGAGAGCCATCCTGTTTGGTTCTTTCATTTTGTTGTGTTTGTAAGCAGGCAACTGATCAGAGCTGTACATTAGAAAATATGTTTTTAATAGTCAATAAAACAGATTGGAGGGCAAGAGACCAGTTAGGAAATTGGAGGAAAGAGGAAATGAAAGCCTAAACTAGAACACTGGAGGTAGGAACAGAAAATATGAGGGGCAGATCCGGGAGAGTGTAAAAATAAACCTGACAGTAAGTACTTGGCCCTTGATAAAATTTGAGGGTAAGAAAGGGATTCAGAGCCAAAAGCGGGCTCCAAAGTTCTCAAGTCCGGAGAAGAGAAGACTGGCAGTACAGTTAGCAGAGGCGGCAGGGTGGGAGAGAAACGGATTTGGAGAAAACAAGTATCTCTTCAAGTACTGAGTTTGAGGCTCAGCTGAAACTTTCCAGTGGACTCAAGAGCAACTGAAAATGTGGGCCTGATATGAAAACCAGTTTATGTGTATGTATATGCATGACTGGGACATGGTGCTGTACACCAGAAACTGACACATTGTAACTGACTACACTTCAATTAAAAAAAAACAAAGTGGGTATGGAGTAGCTGAGGAGCAATGAAAATCTGCTTAGAAGTCACCAGCTGAGGTTGCAAGAGCAGAGGGGATGCCAGGGAGCCATTCACACAATGCCCCGAAGGCTGCTATCTTTCATTAGAATCTACTCCGGTTTTTGAAGCTTTCTCAAAGCCATCATTTTATTTGATAGTCATAACAATCTTAATAGGAAAGGCAACGTCACCTACTTTTGCAGATAAGGAACTGGAGGCTCAAAGGAGTGAGGGCTTTTGCTAAAAGCACCGCAGTAAAGTAGTAGGCCCCTGATTAGAACTCAGAGCTTCAGATTCTTAATACTCCGTTGCCAACTGCACAGATAAACGCCCTACTCGCACAGGTCAATTTTTAATTACAACAGTTTGGAGTCAGGAGGTTTGTTTTATTTTGTTATTTAAACTGTTGTCGGTTTAAGAGAAAGGTTCGAGAGAACAGGGCTCCGGTCGGCCGGCACAAATCTCCGGTGTAGTCTGCTAACTATTTCCAGTGTGAAAGAATAGACAGCCTGGCTTCTGGGGAACCCCTGCTCTGCGATCACGGCCCACATGCCGGCTGCACGTTTTTCAAAGGGGTCTTTCCGCCTGTCTGACTTGAATGAGTAGGAGTTCGTGAGCTCGTACCCCGACAAGTCCACGGACTTGGACAGACTTCCCGAACCCCGCTATGCAAAACTTTTAATTCAGAAAAGTCCAAAATCTTCCAGTTTCACAAGACAAGGAGAAAGGGATGGTTTAAGTCTCGACGAGGACAAAGGGTTTTGTGTGAGTTTCAAGGTGAAGCCGTGCGTTTGGCAGAGGGCGACGGCGACAAGCCCAGATGCGCGCGGCGGGCGGAGCGGAGGAGGGGGCGCGTGAGTCAGGCGGGAGCCGCGCGGGGCGGAGCCGGGTGGGGCC